AAAAAATATGAAGTTCTATACAGTTGAATTGCACAAAACTTATTTTGCATGAAAATTATTAATTATATATATTTGATTGACTTAATTTTCAAATTGTTACACTTGTTTACCTTTTATTGGTAGGTAGATAACAGAGAGAGCGAGAATTGCCTAGAAAAAGAAAAATCTACCATTCCCTGAAGAAAACATTTTTTTTAAAAAGAAAAATACGTTTACATGACCAACTTTTGAAAAATATTTTTTATGAAAAAAATATGTCAATCAAATAGAAAATATCAAGCACTATGATTTTACGTATAATACATGTCATGTTTGTAATATATTTGTACAGAAAAACTTCTTTTTATTGTGAAAAATACAACACGAGTCGTATTTAGCTCATGATCGGTACATTTCAATATCAATTGCATTGATTCGTTAATTGAGTTTTCTTCCGACTTTTACGCATGTACCACAAACAATCGATCAATTTTCTATCAATTTAGTCTCAGAGTGTGTTTGGTAGAAATCAAAATCGGATTAAAATTGAAAAACTAGTCGTTATTGTTGAGTTTTATTAGATTTTAATCTTAGCCAAAATTCTTGTACCTACAGAACAGGCACAACCAAAGGCGGGAGCAACATTTTTTTTTTTCNAGTCTCAGAGTGTGTTTGGTAGAAATCAAAATCGGATTAAAATTGAAAAACTAGTCGTTATTGTTGAGTTTTATTAGACGAGTGAGACCCAATAACGACTATATTTTCAATTTTAATTAGATTTTAAACTCTCCCAAACACTTACAATAAATTTAAAATTTGATATCATCATAATGGGACCTATACATACATATATTAATTATCAATATCCAGAAATTTATTCAACGTATAAAGACGTCAATGGAGTTGTTCAAAAGTATATTGTACTATAACTTTCAGAAAGAAATTGATTTTTGACTCAATTCTTTGAATTTAGCTCAAATAATTAAATTGAATAGAGAAAGTCTGTTCAAGTCAAATAATAATTATAACTACTATTGCTTTTGTTATTAAATTCAAACGCATCATAATTGCTACGTATTTAAGCTTTAATAAATTAAATTAAATACTCACCGTATTGGGACTTAAAAGAAATGACATAATGAACTGTTTTCTATGATAGATTCGTCTGGAAAATCTCGAACCAAAGGGATAATAAGGTCGTGTTTGGTTTCCTAGTATTTTATATCCTCGTACTCGTTTTTCTCCTTTTCTGCTCTGTCAAACACGTCCTAAGGGTTCTCCATCTTTCTTGCAATATTTTGTCTTCTTTTATTTACTTGTATCAATCAAAAGACGAATTTTGGTATAGTCTCTTCCAATAGTTACGGAAACATCATCTGCCGCTCCGTTCATAAAACCGCCGGAAACACCGTATCTCGGTTTATTCCTGCCACCCAAAATCACTTTTTTAAATTGGAAACCCACATGGAGAAAGAGCCTCTACTCCCTTTTGTCAACACCAGATGGCCGCAATCGTCGCCACAGCCGACGCCGCCACCACCACCACCACCACCGCCAGTCTCACTCTGCCCTTTACCTGAAGAAAATGAAATTACGATTCCAACGTTGCCCATCACCCCATCTGCAAAAGAATTCAAAGAAAGGCTCATATTTGGATCCCCCACTTGTGCATCGTCCCCTCTTATAGATTCT